GAACGCAATGCCTGTTCTCTCCTATGTACACCACAGCCTGGCTCGCCCGCCTTCCGCTAAGCTGGGACTCCAAGCCTATCATTGCACAGAAGATCAACCTTCTGTAGCTGCTGCTTACTGAAGAGGAACCTGATGGAAAGGTGGTGTTTACGTAGCCCTGGGACTCTTATGACTTCCTGCAAGTTCCTGATGACAGTAGCACCTAGATTCTTTGTCCACTCTGTGGAGGATCACGCGAGACCCTACAGGTTGCAAAGAAGACGTCGAAGAATCCACAGGCTTTGAGCGTGGTTACGTACAAAGGCCACTTAGCCTGGAGTGTTAGATGACGACTAACCCCAGCCCGGATGGCGGGTTCTACGTGGATGTCGGGACTGTTAAAGGAATAATCAGTCTACTCATTCAAAAAGTGAGTAATTTCAGGAAGCAAGCGTCAGGCTTCTGAGGTTCAGATCTTGGCTCTACCATCCACGTGTTCTGTCTCCTTTGGTAACCACTTATTTCAGGGAGCTGTTCTGGACGTTAAATGAGCTATGGATACCAAAGTGCCTAACATGCAGAGGGGTCTGCAAAATATTTAATTCTTCTTTCTTCTCTCTCTCATTAACCACTTTTTACAACACCCCTTTTACTTGGAGACCCCCAAAGGAAAAAGACTCAATAGACATCTATAGTAATTGAATAACTCTTACATTTGGATGCTGCAAAGTCTTCACTGATCTAAGCACAGAAGGCTTTCAATTTTTCTTTACTTTCAAATTTATTGAATCATCTGCCTGCCTCTCCTAACTTTAATGCATAAAAAAAATTTAGCCCCTAAATAATTATAAGCCAGAAACCTCTTATTTAACATGTCAGTGACACTGGCTGATCATTAGTAACTGATAATACCTAGTTTGACATGTACGATAAGAGCATTGATTTAACAGAAAGATTCACATTGATGAAAACATCCTAACAGCTTGGGTATTTCATTTCCCTTCATAAGGCAAAAGTCCCAGAAAAGAACACACAAAAAATTTCCATCTCAGGATCTGTCCGAGGGATGATGCTGAGAAAGGCAGGAGCCACCTGGTTTCAGAGCTGGGAAGACCTGGGCTCCCATATTAAAAAAAAGAAAAAAAAAAAAAAAAAGAAAACAATTTCCATCTTCACAGACAAATTACTATTTAGCATTTCCTATCAAGTCAGTGGCAACTGCTTATAAGTTCATATACAGTTGCTGTGTTAAATATGAAACTGTATTTCAGAATAGTGGGTTGATAATTCAAGTGTAGAAATGGCCAAGGTGAAACGTAGCAAAATGAGGTGATGTCTCACAGGAGAATCATAGTCATTTACTTAAGTAAAGTGGAGCCTTACCGGTTTCAGTTTAAAATTCAGTATTTCAGAAGATTTATTTGGTATGATCATGACCAATTCAATCTGACAAACACAGATTGTCTAGCATCTGGTGGGCACAATCTAGGCAAGTCTCCAAAACCTGAATTGTGATGATGAAGGACGTTTATAACCAGCCCCTCAAAGGTGGTGGGACATTCACCCATGTAAGTATGCCACGTTTCAGAGCACCACTCAAAATTATTTAAGTGGCTTCTACTTTGCTCACTGCTCTGTCCCCAGCACCCAGGGCTGTACCTGGAAAAGGAGAGTCACTTGTTAAGTGTTTGTGTTATACATGGGGAATGACTGAGAGACTAACTCTAGCTAGAACCCTCATGTCAAAGGTCAGACCACAGTATCTGAAAGCCAACTTATAGCAGGCTACAAGTTAATTCTCAGTAATAGGCCACAGAGAGTATTTTAGAAATAAACTGGTCTACAGTCAATATTCAGCCAGTAATCTATTACTTGATGATTTGTCCTTTCTTGTAGCTAACTGTGGAATTCTACTGCTCTGATTACATAATTTCAAAAGGGACAAAGTTAGAAAACAGATTTATTCATGCTAAGAAATGACAGTGCGTCATGGATTTATATGGAATTACGGAGGAGCAGAAATGTTTGCCCCTTTCTTTACGGAAGTGAAGAAGCACGGGGCCTGTCTTTCCTTCAGCTGATGGCTGCGGGGCCACCACTGGGGGTGGCGGTGTGTCTCTCCTAGGACAAGCATGATGGCAAACACACTACATGCAAGGCCCACGGCTCGGCAAAGGTCTGACAACCTCCGCTGCCACCAATGATCATGGCAATGTGATCTGCTGAGAATGTTTTTAGAATGTGAGAAGCAGGGCCTGACAGGGATTCCCATTCATTTAAGGATCAGGTTTCCTTACAACAGCTAGGATTACAGCTAGAATTTCTTGTTTTCAAGAAAGTCACAGAGTCTGAGAAACCACGGCAGAGCCCATGTACCGTATTTTTATAACAGGGGATTACAGTAAAAAGTCAAGGACAAAAGCTATTTCAGGGCCAGAATTATCAGATGCAGCAGCAAAATTCTAGCACAGGAACAAGGACTCTGTACCTATTGGTTATAAATGACATCATGCTTTCTAAAGAATCATGTTCATTTTTTCCTATTTCTAGCAAATCAAATAGTCTAGAGCTCCCTCTTGTGGACGCTACGATTTTTAATCAGTCTCGTCAGAATCTGTCCATAGCAGTGAATCACTTCATGGATGCTGATGGTCTTTCTTCGTCGAGTGGGCATTCTTTCAACCCAATCTATAAAATCGTTAATTCTGTCAGACAGTGAGGGAAGTCTTAGAGATCAAAACGAGAGGAAGCTCTCATCATGCACACTACCTTCCGGCTAGAAAAATGACCGTGTTTGGCCAGTTTACTGTTCAGCGCTTCCAGGAACATTTCATCGGTGACTTTGCCCACATTCATGCAGGCGTCATCTAGGATGGGAATGATCCCCTTGTGCTGCTGCTCCACCAGGTCCACGATGATCTGATTGTTGAAGTAATCGATCTGTAGGACACAGAGAGAAGGCAATTCCAGAGGGGACAGCGACCAGGAACAGGCACAACACCAACGCCTCCGTGTCAATCAGGAGTTTAACTTACTTTGATGGCAACCACACGAACAACATTGGGGAGGTATAATGCTACAATGAGCACACATTCTTACAGAGGCTTTTTTAAAAATCCATTTGTTGACTTTTCATCATAAAACACTTTGTCTTAAGTGAGTACAGCTCAAGGCAAAAATTATAAAGCAGATAACGTTTCTCCCATCCCTAACTCTTGTTTTAATCCTGTCTCCATACCCTGCACCTAACCTTTCTCTTCAGACTCTCAATCCCCCCATCTGTTAGCTGTTCACCACGAGACCCAGATTCCACTAAGTACCAACAAATAACCTAGAGGTGTTATTTGAGCTCTCACTTGGCAAAGTGAAGGTGTTACGCGGAACCTGCATTTTTAGTTATACGGCCCTGGGTGACTAAAATCCCAAAGGGCATCTCCTCCAGCTTCCCCAAACTTAAAAAAAGCATCCATGGGACTAACAGAGTTTTTCAGGGTACCATACAAAAAAAAATTAATTCTGAGATACAAGTATTCACAAGGATAAGAATAAGCTTTTCATTTGCCTCCATAAGCTGAACTGAGTTATAACTCTTGGCTCTTTAGCAACTCCAGCACACACATGGTTTGTGTTAACAATCCTCTGCTACACCTGTTTATTCTGAGCCTGCAGCACACATATACCCCCACACACACGGAAGTACGCACGGGCCTGACTCAGGCAAGCTGCACATCATTTGAAGACGGGCAGGTCACCATGCATTTCAGTCCTGTGTGTTGATATGTCCCATCCCATCTAGGAGGCGCCTGCACTTAGAGTTGTCTCTGTTACCTTTTGTAAGATCGACACGCTAACAACAGACTATTACAGCGTCTTGTGTATCCCTGTTCCATGCTATGCGAAATCCAAGGACTCAGGCCAGCTATTCAGCTCTGGCTTTCAGCTCCATTCCTGGTCTTCCAAGTCCTCCTCTGTATTCCATGGACTGAAAGTCTGCCAACTGGATGGCTTCTACGTTCTTTTTTATGCTTTTCTGGTTTGTCTAAATCAGTGATTTTTTTCAACAGAGGGCGACTTTACCCCCTCGGGGCATCTGGCAATGTCTGGACACATTTCTGATGGCGATGACTAGGGGGATACCGCTGGCATCCAGTGGGAGAGGCCGGGGACACTGCTAGCCACCCTACACTGCACAGGACAGGCTCACAGCAGTTATCTGGTCCAAGATGTTAGTACAGACACAGAGAAGCCCTGGTCTTAGTATTTACTTTTATTGTGGGCACTTACTACATTTCCAGTTAGGGAAAAAAGTTGTTTTTATATCTGGAAAAAATATTCTTAAAACGCTCAAAAAGCAGGAACTCTAAATTAATAGCTGAAATCTGAGACTTTGGGACTATGGAATTAAAGACTAAGTCTTTTGTCCCAAGGACAAAAGAATTAAGTTCTCCAAATTCCAACTGTCTAACCTAAAAGTGATTAGTCTTTGCCGAAAAGTCCAGGAACTTTTAGTTCACAGTTTAATGTTCCTTCAAACATCACTTAAAATCATGGTTTTCCAACCAGGTTCTTCTAGCTGATTGACATTCCCAGGAGGTTTTTCGTGGGATGCAGGGAACAGAGAGATGTAATGGGATAGCTCAGGGACATGGGTTCTGGGCCTCCCATCCCGACTCCAGACAGAGCAGCTTTGGGCCTGAGAGTCAAGTTCTCAGCAGCTAAAAGTGACTTGTAAACCAACGTACCAAAAGCATGTAAAAGTGAATCAACTAGACATTAGGAACCTCCTGATGGACGTTCACACACCACCTATGAAACAGGCTGGCAGAAAAACACTGACTGTGAAACCACTTAAGACTGTAGATCTAACAGCAGATGTAAAGGACACACAAGGAACAGAGAAACATAATTAGATGACACCTCGGGAATCGGATTAGCAAAATCCAGACAGCAGGAAACTCTGTAGAACAAACAACTCGTTCTTTCAACAAAAGATTGCAAGGGGAAAAAAAAGAAGTGAAAGAGAGAGGATAAAATCTATGGATCCATGCGAGACTTACCAACCAGTCACAATGTAAGAAACTTATCTGGATCCAAATTC